CTAACAGTTTCCATGAGAAGGCAGTGTTTATTCAACTTCTGCAGTCTATAGGCAACATTTCTTCTTGCTCATAATGTATAAATACAGTTTTCACACAGTTTTAATGAACGGATTATTTGTAAATCACATTAAGAGCTTATGAGGGTAACAACAAGAGCAAAAAGCATAAGTAATCATTGTATTTTCATCTCTCTCTATGTAATTATTTGCATCTTTCTCACTTTTGTAATAATCAGACATAATAAGGTTGAAACAGCTGGATCTTTATGCTTGGATTTTGTTTCTTGGCCATAGTTTAGATGTTCTGAATATTCCCTAAGAATGTGTGTGTTAGAATTCTCTCTCTCTCTATATATATAGTTATTTATTAGTATAGATATATAAATAAATATATACATATTTAACCTTAAACTTTAAAATATGGACTTACATAAAATCATACCAATTTCTTAGCCCCACCTACCTGAGGTTGCAAGGATCTGTCAATCTAGATATCTCTCTAGGTATCTCTCACTCCTTACCAGGAAGGCAACTATGTAGCCCTTTTGGATGAAAGATTCTAGTTAAGAAGGATTGGCTTAAATAATAAAATTAATTTTGGAGATGTGTTTGTGTATGTGCATGTGTGCATCTAGCTGTGAGCACTGAGGCTGGTTGGGAAGCAATAAAGAAGGCATCAGAAAGGGGTGGGACCACTCTGAGGATATGATGCCATCTTTATGTAATTTACTGTCCTTTTATGAAAACTAGGGTCAGTATTTCTTTTAAGGTCCTATTTTTTTCCCAATTAGAACTTACTGCAACAGAGTTTCAACACCCCTCTTTCAAGGTTTTCAAATCCAAGAAATCTAGCCAGTAAAATTAAACACAGTGCTTGCAAGGGTACCTATGGAAATTCTCGTTTACTTCCATCTGTCTTTTGCTCACTGCAGAGCAAAATAAGAAAACTGTTTCCTTTTCTATTTTCTGAATATTACTTTAAAGCTAGAGCTTAATAAACTACATACTGGCTGCAGAGTTTGTGTGGGTGTGAACTCACAGATCCTTAACATTAAATATATTCCAAAGGACATAGTATGAAAAATTTGAGGGCGAAAAGTAAATAAAAATGAAATTAGACATGGTGTATTTTGGTATGCAATTAGAAATTTAATGACTTTAATGACTAGAGTCATTAAAGAAAATACATATTAATGAATCATATTCTAGACTCCCTCTTAAGGCCACGGGGTGTTCTTAATACTTCTATGCTTCGGAAATTATTACAATATTGAATTTATCTTTATCCAGTGGCAAAGTAGACTTTCCCAGTTGTGAAAGAACAAAACAGCATGCAGAACTTTACAAGGGAAGACACTACATAAAAGCCACATTTGTTAGTAAAATAAAAATCTGAGACTCCAAGATTCACGCTGAACAGGGTATTTCTCTGTGAGGAGGACCAATGACCAAATGAAAGTAACTCCCCTCGTGTCTCACTTTCTTGTGATTCCTGCTGTCAGGCACCATATCAGCTTTACAGTGGTACTGACAGTGTTAGCTCTGCTTGAATAAAACCTCTTCCTCTGATGTTCTTTGGCATAGGTGAGTAGGCTAAACTAGAAATTTAAAAGAAGAAAAACACAGATACTACAATAAATGAACATATGTGACATACAAAGGCAGAACTTGGTCATGACAAAAGTAGTTTTCTCTACAGCTTACTGATCCAATCCCGTTATGAAGCCCAGGGAAAAAATGATCTTGCCTCAGTTTCTCACTTATAGCTCCCTGTCTCCGATGACCTCCTAGATTTTCCAACCTTTCTACATTCAAGTTATAGGGAACTCACATTTTATATTTAGTTATCTGAGATCCTTCCTTTGAATTCCTGTTTCCAATTTGAGTACATGCCTGTTTGCCAGGTGACTAACATCGTTGAAACTTCTACTGTCACTCGCTGTTGCTGGCTCAGTGGCCAAGGCTGAATTTCACTGACTGGCCCAGGAGTAGTGAGTCCTGTTAAACAATCCTGAGTGTCTAGAGTGGAGTGAGTGACTGTAGCCATCAAAGCTTGACAACTAGAGAGATGAGGTCTCAGGTTCAAACAGAGGGGCCAAAAACTGAAATCAAGGCAGCACCACAGAACCAGAAATTTGGATTTGAAATTAGAAGAAGCAGAACAAGAAAAGGCGAGTGGTTGATGTGGGATGGAGCTGTGGTTTGTTTTACAGACTTAAGTGTATATAAGTTATATGATTTGATTGAATGGCTTTAAGATTCATGGGTACAGACAGAAATGACCTCACCTTTCAGCTGAAATACTGATGTCTTCCCCCTTTTTTCTTATTTCATATTAAATAAATGATATTAATATGACAAAGGAATAGTCACATTTATAGACAATGTACATTATAATAGCACTTGATAAATGGTTATCTTTTACCTCCTGCACTGCCATCCTGTTTGCTGAAAGATAGCAATAGACTAATATTACTATCACTTACTCTATGACGGAAACTTGACATTCTCTCCAACAATTCTTTTTATTCTGAAGGACGTAGAACCTTTAGTTTATTTTATTTTTCTCGGAGATTGATGTAAAAGTATTAATATACTTAAAAGACTGAAAGACAGAGAAGTCTAGATCTCAAAAGACTTTTTGGATAGTAATGAGGACGGTGGACATCTAGACAGCTTAGGGTCCTTGAGTACATTTATGTGAATAAGATTGGGTGTTGCCTCTTTCCTTGGCTTACTTATAATGAGGGACAGTGTTGGCTGGTAGAGTTGCCACAAAGGAATCTTCAGCTTTTCCTTCCTGGGCAATGACCTTGGAGGAAATCCCACAGGATTTCTTCTAGCCCTCCCTCTGGATGTTGTGGAATGATGTTTGAGGACCTCTGTCTTAGGTAGGTAGGGACCAGTATCCTGACTGATTAATAACAAGGAGCAGTCATGAGTCTTGATTCCTCATGGTTAATAAAAGACTTGATGCAAATTTGACAAGATTTAAGGTTTTTCTGTGAAGCTTCAGCTGAGTTCTAGAGTCTCTCTGGCAATTTTCAGTAACACAACACATTTTGGCTTTTGGGGTAGAGCTTGCAATATATAGTGTGACCAAAGAAGTATAGCCTTTGTGTTAACGACAGAGAAACTTTGAAATAAATAGTCCCTAGTTCATATGAAGGACAGTAAAGATGGATCCTAGTTCTTAAACATTTCCAATAAAATGAAGTGTATCTGCCTATAATTAGTTGATGTAGATAATATTGAACTATTAAGATATTGGAATAAACTTTTTCAGATCTAGAGTTTGACTTTTTACAATATATTCCTTGAGGAATACATTCCTAGTAAAAGACTTTTATATTCAGTAAACAATTTTCTTGGCAAAAAGAGTAAAAAAGATATCCTTTTGTATAATTTTAGTAGGCATCCACATTTCCAGCAATTTCTGAATTGGTTTTCTCTGCTATGAATAACTGACAACCTGTGATTTATGGATTTGGAATAATTGATTTTCTTGGCTGTCATATACTTTGAGTAAGAAATATTACATACGTTTTCAGAAAAATGATTTAAGGGCGAAAAGAATGAAGTAATGCCAAGTTCTGAAACTTTATTTCGAAACTGTGTTCTAACCAAATGGTACTTGAGATGCTCTCTCTAAGTTTTTGAAGCGTGTTTGCTAAATAATTTTTAGACAGAAGATTTCTAAACATGCCACTTCGAGCTAAGTCAGTGAAAATAGTGGAGGGGAGCATATTGTTCTCACCTTCCCAAGAACTAGAAATGCAGAATTTTTCATTGATGCGTGGTAATATTCTGAGTAAATTTCTTCAAAAATAGGAATTATACAACATCTCATTTTACCTGTCAAACATAAAATATATAGTGATTTAGTGGATTCTTTCTATGAAAAGAATCTTTTTAAACATGAATCTCTAAAGCAACTTCTCAATTTTATTAAAGGTTTGGCCTACACTGTATTTTTGCTAGTTTTGCTTAGTCCATGGGTTTAACTGATCCATCAACTTCAAATTCCATGGAGCATTTACCAACTCTTTTCATACATTCTATTATAATGGTAATTGGTTGACTGTGTAAGAACTAGGGGTTAGGAATAGTTCCCGTCTATGTGTTTTTGACTAGCATTGTCCAATAGGACTTTCTGAGATGATAGAAATATTCTTTAACGTTTGTCCATATGTGGCTAGCACTTGGAATGTGTCTAGTTCAACTGAGAAACTGAATATTTGATTTTAATTGATTTATACTTAAATTTAAATAATCACACATGGATAGGATAGTGGCTATAGTACAGATAATATAGGTTTACCTTAGAACAGTGAGTTTATGACCCTGAGCAATTCAAGTCTACACTTGTGGGTAGCATTCACATTGGCTGCTCTGGATCATGTTCAAGGGTTTTCCTTAGTGGTTATAAATTAGGAGGCAATACTTCCCTACCAAAGTGACAGATAAAATTTGTTAGGACATTTTTGGTTGCCATACCTGGGGTGTCCTCCTGGCATTTAGTTGGTGGAGACCAAAGATGCTTAATGGCCTGAAATGCATAGGACAGTCTGCACAATGAATTATTGTCCATCTCAAATGCCAGTAGCAACTAATTTGGTAAACCCAAATAGGTGAGCAGAGTTCCCTAAACATTGTGGATTCATTTGTGAGTCCTATCTCAGTCCTATCTATAGTTCATTTTGTCTCCTATGATCTGTATCTTATTTCCCCCTGCCTCCTCAGGGACCTCACTTTCTTATTATGCTCATTTTGTCCTGTATCTTCAACTACTCCCTCTCTGCATTTGAACATGCTTTAATCTTTTATATCTCAAGTAATACCCTTTCTTAATTCCATATCCTCTGGCTGGGACTATCTCTGCCTCCTTGTTCACAACGTCCTGTCCCCTGCCAATCTCAGAACAGCACATGTATTCATCCAGCTGTTGGGGGACACTACTTTTTGTACTATGATGAAAAGAAAGCTCACACCATATGCAGTTTCAAAACACACCATTTTATTACATAGACATATCAATAGAAATCATCATACCATGTTTCACTTCTAAACAATTGTATATATGTGTGTGTGTGTGTGTGGGGGTGGGTCCACACACACACACATGTTTAAAAATTTCCAGAGTCCACTTTTATTCTTTTATGCTTATAATAACTGCATCTTTTTGTAGCTAGTCTCTACAGCACGCCACCACACTAGTGTCACATATTTTTCTAATTTAGTATCACATTACTTTTTCCTCAAGATAGGCTCATACTAAAACTGTAATGTAATCACTTAAAATATTCTAGTTCATAGTTCAACGTATTATGAAAATTAAATTTTCAAGTACTTGAACAATGTCTTCCTAACTTCCCCTACTTACCTCAAAAAGAATCACTACACGTCCCAAATAAATCACTCTAAATAACTGAGCCCTGAAGGTATTTGGATAAAATAATTACATTTAAAGATATATCTATACTTAGTTAAATACCTTGTAGACTATTTGGCTAATTGTGTTGATTGCATCTTTTCTTAACTCTATGCCAAAGCAATGATATGCCTACATTCATCCTTAATGGGTGATTTCATAAATTATTTCAAAAGTCATTAAAACATCTTACTGATGTATTATAACTCTGTATTGTACAAACATGTTTACAAAGAAAGGCCACCTAAAATTAGAGTAGGTGGTTACTCTTTCAGTACAAAACTACACCCTTGTGTAAACTCAGTAGAACCATACACACCCAAAATATCTTCATTATATAATTTAGATTTTCAGTGATGGAGATCATTCCTGCTTGTGGCATCAAATGAACAGTGATGATGCTGATTCATTATTTGAGGTTGCATTTATGGGCAATTTCTGCAATCTATTGGATAATGAAGTTCTTCATCTGAGCTGGGAGACTTCAAAAACTACACCAAACAACCACAGTCCAGTTATTGCAGCCAGAATTTTTTAATGAGCTGATTTAAATAGGGTTGGTGGTGATCATGATGCTCTAAAACTAAAAGACCTTCAGATTTCCATTATCTGGAATTATTGTTATTTTGTTAGCACAATTAAAACCCATATCTTGCTTCTAAATTATAACGTTCTCATACTGAATATGTTCAATATGAGTATGGTTCAATAAGTAACTCATAAAAAATGACTTGAAAATTGATTAACTTTGGGGAAAAAATAAAAGTATACAATACAGTGAGAGTTATATATTTAAAAATTTTAGAGTTCTTTTTCTGTTTCCAGAGGTTATATCCTCATAAATATTTTCTTGCCTACATGTATTGTTGTAGGTTGCTATTTTAACATTTCATTATGGAAGATAAGGATTGACTCCAGCTGTGTAAATGTAAGCCCATCTTTTTATTTCCTTCTACAGAGAACTCTTTTGCGTTCTTTGGATTTATGTGTTCTTAAAAACTGTCTGTCTGTATTATAAACAAACAAAACAAAAACCTAAATTAAATTCCAGCAAACCTAATTGTAACTTCATCTTTTGAGCATCTGTCCTTTTATATAACTTAATTGGGCTGTAAAGTGTTTGAAATATAAATATCATGAATAATCACAAGTCATTATGTCTATACTTATAAAAGTGGAAGTATGTGATTTAAAGTTATGTTTATAAATTAATCTCAATAATTGTTATTACATAAATACCATAATAATGGTAAAATAACCAAATAGTTAAGTAATCTGTCTTCATACTACATTATTCAGGTCACTCAACTCCATGAATATCAGCCACAATGCCATTTACACACAGCAGACATAACAAAAGAATAAAAATGAACAAGTTTAGTAGAAATTAAATATGTGATTTTGTGGACATAGAAAAGCCTTGAACAACAGCTTTCCCATCTCTATGGGAATAGAATCTTAATAATATGCCGCAGCATCACAATTTCTTTTCTACTACCTATTTACATTCATGAATGCTACAAATATATGCTATATATATTTTCTATATTTACAGTATATATATGCACACATACACACACGCATACTTTATTTAATTCTTAGGCTCATTCGTGAGCATGCAGATCAATCTGCACAGCATGATTAAAACATTTGTTTTCCTTAAATGATATTCATTTACAACTTCTCACTCTTGTGCAAAAATGCAAAAATATCATACAGATTAGTATTTTCTCTCTCTAAAAAAACCTATTTTGTATGCTTTAGGTTTTTTGTTGTTTACAAATAAATTATGAAATATAGCTCATTCACAAGTTGAAAATAATTACAATGTTTTTACAACAAGGCATTGCTGAGGTTTTGAATTGTGGCATTCTTGAAGCCAGCGTCTTTCAAAACAAAGACATCAGTAAGTTATTGTTATTTCTTAATAGTTGCACTTTTTAATTACTTATATGAAATATGTCATTGCAAATCTAATGCTCATGCTAGTGAAATAGTGTTTGTGTAGAATATGAATTTTTCTTTTCATCTATTCCTCTTATTTTTTCCTAGAAAGTCTTCATTAGAATAATCTGGAAAGTCTATTGAAATTACTGTACTAGAACATTTCTGGAAAGTTCTTCACCCAATAAAAAAAACTGAAGAAATAAGTGAGGCAAATCGAGGAAGAATAATTTTAGTGGGTGCTCAGGAGAGACAACAGCAAATGCAAGAACTGTTTTAATTTTATCTTCTAGTCCTTTGGTATTTCCTTGCGTCGTGAAAGTCCTAAAAAATATTCCATTCTTTAAAACATTGGTTATACTCTTCCATTAAATATCAGTTGTGGTCCTCCGTTGCTCATGTTGTCTGTCATTTCCTGTTAGGAAAATAACATGAATTAATTAAAATTCACTTTCAGAGTAAGACATTGATTTGGTTAATGGGTTTGCAAAGCAGAAATTTCAAGCCATTGAAAAACTTGCTGAGTTTTGGGGAAGGACAAGGATTGATACAGTTGTGCTTGAGGAAATGAAATTTCATGGCGTCTTGGAGCGCATGAAAAGGCTGAAGTGCCAGTCTGTTAGACCGAAGTCTTCTATTCACAAAAACAATTCAATCTGTCCCCAGTCCCCTGAGTCTCCCCTTTCGTTCCTCAACTCTATTGTGGAAAGACCTCACCTAGAAAGAAGAAGATGATTAAATGCCAACATTTTTCCCATTGCATAGGCTCCTCTGCTGAACCTGTCAACAAAGTGCCGACAGATTCTAGGGGTTATCTTTATTCTGTAAAAAAAAGTGTGGCCTTTTTGCAAAGAACTGAAAAAGGCCCAAGGGGATCACTGCTTATTTGTAACTGTGGATCACTGATAAATCACAGTGGGAAGACTTTTCATGACACTATCACTCATACAGTAAAAACACCAATAGTAAAACCTCTTAACGTGTTTTTTAAGGTATCAATTACTAAGAAGTTGATAAGGAAAACTCATGGGAAGGCAATGATAATTTAGATATAAAAAATATAAAACTAACATAAAAATTCCATTTGCAATTATAGAAAATACCTTAATTTAAGAACAATTTAGATGCTTTGAGTTCATGTTTCATTAAACATTAAACTCTTCTCTACATGATTAAAGGTAGTGAGATGTGAGGCCCATTCACGTTTGTAATGGTTAGTGCACCATATTATAAGTAATATTTAGGCAAAACTATCTGAAAATAGATGACAACATCTTTCCACACTTGAACAAGCCTATTTGCAAAAATATATTAAAGGAAATTCAAATGAAAGTTATTTTCTCAATTGTCTCCAGCCTATCAGTTTATATCTAATATCCGTGTGGGTAAATTAAAAATTAAAAACTAATATGTTTGCTTTTGTAACCTTTAGAAATTCTTCCAAGTATTTATTTGAAAGGTGAAAAGGAATCCATGCCTCATTTTTCTCTCTTCTCTTTGAAAATTCAATACAGGATATAAAATAGAATAAAGATACTTGCTTCTTGTGTTGGGTGGTATTGAAAGTTGCTTAGGAGGATCAATGAGGGACTAGAAAGTAGGAATTGGCCTGGTTTTCCAACTTTGCTTTTGAAAACTTTGTAGTCTTTTAGGAGATAGGGTAGAATTTCTTCCAAGAAAATTCTGAGAAAGGAGATAATATGCATTGGAAATCTTTCCTACTCTCACATTCAGACCCGTCTCTCCACGCAAAGTGCCTGGCCCCTTCCAGGTCCTGGGGTGTTGTTTTGTACCTGGGTATACGTGATATCTCCCCTAGTAAGGTGCTGAGAAATTACCAGAAGGAAAGACTTAAAACTCAAACCCCTTTGGGGTAATGGCTCTGACAGAAGCTGGAGAAGAACATTTGGAGCCAGCAGCCTGCCTTTATGGTCTGGTGTGGTTCAGTGTAATTGAGATGCTGGCTCTGCTAGAGATATATGTGGTAAAAGTTGGTCTGAAAACATTGGGGTTATTGGGCTGAGGTTAAGTTTATGGAGAAGAACCTGATTTGAGGCTTCATTCAAAAGCTCACTGTTGGTGGAAAGATGAGTATAAATGATCCCTCCACAATGATCTTTAACAAGATTTACTCATACATATTTTTCTATTCTTTCTACTGGGACAAAAACACATTTTCCTTATGAATTTATAGAAGTAAGATTCTTGGGTACCTTTTCTTCCTCTAAAATGACTTTGCATTCAAAAAGTACCTTAAAAAACATAAAAAGCTAATTTAATGTATAATCTTTTATTGCAGGATTAAGAAAAAATCCAGTTTTTAAAAATCTTACACAAGAATTTTCCTAATTAAATGCATCTTAACATGGACACAGTAAAATCACTGATAGGAAAAACAGTGAAAATTAGTTTTTAAATGGATGAATATCTTCAGGTTGTTTGCAAATAGGTATGTCCAATTTAACAAGATTATACTCTAAATTTGAGCAGGACCAAATATGACTATTTGCAAATGGATATACTTTCTGCAATTGGGCCATAGTATCTATGTGACTTTCTATATTTCCAGTTATATTGTTTAACCAAAGCAAGAATGGCAACTATTTATTTTCAGCAATCCAAAATATGGGAAAAAGTTTGATGTATCACATTAGATGTTTTACAAGGAGAAAGCTTTCATACAGAATTTTTACTGTATTAGTGTCAAATCTAGGTTATCTGCTCATGCAATTTTGGCATGAGGCAGATACACAGTTTCTCTTTGTCAGACACATCTATTATTAAAAACAAAATTCTGGTCTGTGAATGATGATACTGAGTCAGAACCATGATGTAGCAGAGATTAAAGGAGTCATGAATCATCCAAGCAGAAGTGTGTTTGGATGCTTACAGGGAGGCTGAATATTTTAAATACTCAACCAACTTTCAAGCTGCAAGACTGCCATGTAGGTTTATGTCAGGTCCTCAAAGTAGTTCTCATGAAAGTTATACTTTGAGGAGCAACATCACAGCATCAGTCCAGACTGATCTGCTGGCATCATGGCTTCCTACAAGAGGCAGTGCTTCCTGCAGTGACATTACAACATGGTAACTCCCTAGAAATCAGCGTACCTTGTAGGTAACTCGGGTGTCGGGGGCACCACCGGGCAGCTGGGCAAGTCGGTTATTTCAATAGCCCTCAATCTCTAATATAAATATAACAATCATACAATAAATATTGCACAAACATATATACAAAAAACTAAATTACACTAATATAAAAATAGAACACAGAAGAGCCACTACCCAATTATACAATGATAATCTATTTTTAACAACCCATTTCTTTAAATAACCAGTCCTACTTTTTGTACTGTTAACTCTTTTTTTTGAAAGACACATGTAGATCTGTTTAAAGTTGCTTTCTTGGAACAATTTAAGAGCAGCTACTCTCCTTATTTGAATGTATATTGTATATGAAATGCAAACACATAAAACTACAGAATATTTTTTTTTTCAAAATAACATAAAGAAATACTCAGTAGTAACTCCTGCTACTCCTTCTTTTATTCTGTGGTTAAGCAGTTCTATTTCCATGATATCAAGTAAAATATGATGTGGCTCGTATCTTAGAGAGTTTATTTTACAGATATTTTATCTTTTCCTTAACAGATCCAGAAGCAGGAACTGAATTAAGAAATATGTGCAAAATGTAGTAGAAACACAGACAGCCCACTATGTCATTTGTCCTTTTATGCAAAAAATGTAACTTCCTGTTTGAACGGGCTTCATGAAACAATTATGCAAGGAACATTATTTAAAATACAGGCAAAGCTACCCAAATATGCATGAAGTTTAGATGAGAATTAAATGAAGCTTTATGTGGATTGTAATATCTGCACTGATAAGCAAGGCTTTTTTGTTGCCTTATTAAAAGGCCCCTTTATGTTTGAAAATTCAATTTACATAATCAAATGCATCTACTTACAAGCATAAGGGGTGAGCTAGAAAGGGGAATTCATCCGATTTCTAAAACTGGCATTACTGAGTTGAGTGTGTATTTAGTTTATGTGTTTTTCCTTAGTACAATACATGAAATCCATATTTATAAGGCATTCAATATTTCATGAAATGCTATTTTAGGAACTGTGTTTTGTACAGATAGATTACAAAATCATGTTGAAAATAGGTGTATCTAGAATTGCAGAGAAAAAAATAATAAATTCCTATTCTTAGCCTAATAGGACCAAACTTTTATAAAATCCAGTTCCTTAAATTCTCATCTAAAGCTGCAAATTGATTCACCTAGATTTGACTGTCATCTTCATCACAGGATAGCAGTGAGAGGAAAAGGTACAAAACTCACTTTCTCGGCCATTTCATGAGAGTGATGCAGCGAATGCTCCCTTTCTGAGAACATCCTCCTCTGTTCATAGCTGGCTAGTCGACAAGTGAGCCATGAAGAGAGGGTGCAGCCCCCGATCCCAATGCACGCAAGAGACATGGAGGCAAGATGCAGAGGATAGAGGGAAGAGGTCTTCTTTGTCACTGCCCGAAGGAATTGAAAATTCAGGATGCCCCCAATGAGTCCACAGATGCAGCAGGCAGAAAAGAGGATCATCTGATAGGAAAAAGAAAGAAGGCGTTAAAGTTTAGGAAGCAAAGTTGACCCCAACACAGCGCACTGTCCTGCTGCAAGTCAAGGATGGCAGAACTACAATAAAGAGAAGATGCGTGTGATGCTTCCTAAAGGACAGGAGCTATCCTTTCACCAAGATTCTATGCAATCTGACTCAATGGAGAGGACACAGACCATAGTGTTTTGGGAATTAATAGCTAACTATATACAAGCTAGGGATACAGCTTATAAAAACTCTGAAGTAAGAAAATTTGTCTTCATCTCACTTACCCCAGCCAGTAATCCTCTGAGAGAGATAGTAATACACATTTTGGAAAATGAATGGTGAGCAGATAACACTTAAATTTAGGCACTGAATCCAGATTTTCTGTCTCCAAATCCAGTTCACTATGTGAATCCTCCCAAAATGTCTAAATACCTTCTCATTGAATTGTTATTAGTTCCACTGAGCCTCAAATCTTTATATTTCTCTGGCTGTGTGAGCTTAGGGAATTAGTTAACTGCTGTTTTCATTCATAAGAATTTTATTATGTGTGCATCTACTTCCCCCACAGATAGTTTAGGAACTCCCTACAAACTGGCCCTTTATCTTACAAATCTTTTGTTACTCAGTGGCACCACAATGACAAATACACAAGAGATATTCCAAAAATACTGTTTGGTTGGTTGTTTTGGAGAAACACCAAATGTTGCTTTCCTTTTGTTCCTATTGGTTTGCTCTAGGTCTCTATCAATAGAGCGGGACGTTTTATTCAACCTAAATATCCTAAGATCCTTGGCCGAAACAAGCACAATGCTTTCTGCATAGTTAATATTCTGTGAATATTTAATAAATTTAATTGAATATTCCAATAGCTTTAATAATTTTATTTTGTAGTTGCATCTAGTCTAAATTCTTCTATGGGATCTCATGATACTAAATTCTCCTATGGGCTCTCATAATACTAGCATCTCATGATACTAACTTAATTATCCAACCTTATTTCTATTTTTCTCTGGAACACAGTCTCTATTCCAGTCACCTCTCTTGTCCATCAGTATAGCTTGTTCATTCCCACTGCAATGATATTTTTCATCTCCTGGAAATTATTTTGCCTCTTTCTTGGACTCCTAGATGTAAGGCCCAAATCTAGTCCTAACTTCCTCAGAAAGCCTTCCTAGACTTTACTGATCTCCTCCTTTCCCATAATTCTACAGAACAAGCAGCTATACTACTTCAGCATTTAATTGTACATTATCAGGTATTATTTGTTGCTGACAGTTAGCTGAGTTTATCAAGTGCTTATTGAGCACCTAGCATCTGTTAAGCCCTGAGTGAGGCAGCAGTTGGCATTACGAAAAACAATAGCTCATAGTTATTCCCTTTGAGTACATTGCAGTCTTGCGTGAGAGAAGTTACAACATTCCAACATGACATGGCAAATATTAAAAAAGAAGGGTAAATGGGTTGCCTTCAGAGTAGGGAGAAGGGGAATTTAGCCCAACCACAAGTTTCAGAGAAGGTTTCCTTGAAAACACGTCATCCAAGCTAAGGGCACGCAGTTCCCAGTGAAGAGTAAGGCCATGGATGTATGAAATAGCACAACGAAATAGCATGACAAGCAGAAAGAAGCACAAGTAGTTAGTTTTATTTCTCTAACTTAATCAGCATTCCTTACTGTGAATGTCTCATAGTACTTATCACCAAGATTGAAAACCCAGTGATGGATTAGGATAAATTTTATAGTTGATTAATATAATACTGAATATCAATTACCAAATAATTGAATCATCCCAAGTGGGAACTTATAGCTCCCAATTTCAAATACAATTAACCAGTTATATTTCTTTCTAAAGTATATTCACATGGCATGCAGTTCCTTGGGAATATATTTTGGTATTTATTCATTCTCTGAAAATATGGAAAGATGTTACATTCCAGCCTTCAAATAATGAATTACTGTTAATTAAGAAAATAAATGACAAATTTAATTGAATATTACAGGAAAACAGATATCTCTCCTGATGTTATTCTCATTACGTCTTAAAAGCATGACAATTTATTAACATATGCAGACAGAACATTCTTACCTGGGAATTAAAATGTTAAAATTTGTACCCAAGTTTATAACCATATACTGTTTTCAAATCTCACCAGACTGGAGATTCTAGACTGCAGAGATTTCTGGAGTGGAGAAATCTTCACACAATTTGATCGAAGGGTACAGAACCCCTTGATAGCTAAATATCATCTATTGGAACCTCAGATGGCACAGGATGATAAAGTGGATGGAGGTTTCTAAAATGTTCAGATCTTACGATTTGTAAATAATTTATAAGAGAATTAGAAAGACAGCAAAAAGAGACCAGTGTCTTTTAAAAAAATCCCTTCCCTCCTCTTCTGCTATGAACTGAATGTTTGTGTCTCTCCAAAATTCTATGTTGAAGCCTAATCCCCAATATGATGGTATTTGGAGGTGGAACCTTTGGGAGATAATTAGGTCGTGAGGGTGGAGCCGTCATGACTGGGGTCAGTGCCCTTATAAAAGAGATTTCAGAGAGCTCTCTTCTCCCTTTTGCCATGTGAAGACACAGCCAGAAATGTGTAACCCAGAAGAGAGCCTTATCAGAATCCAACCATGCTGGCACTCTGATCTGGGACTTCCAGCCTCCAGAACTGTGAGAAAGAAATTTCTGTTGTTTATAAGCCTCCCTCTCCTCTCCTCCCTGCCCTCTTCTCCTCCCTTCCTCTCTCTTTCCTTCCTTCCATTCTCGCTTCCTTTCTCTCTGTCTCTGTCTCTGTCTCTCTCTTTCTCTTTCTTTGCTTCATCCAAGTTCCAAGAAATTGTTACTATATAGCCATAAAGAGTCTTGGTAAAAGAAAGCGTGCAAAGAATGAAGGCCATGTCTAACGAATGATGGGAGAATCATAAATGCAAATTGTAAGCCTCCAAAAAGTTTTTTATCCAAAGGTTTCCCTTTATGTAATTTTTAAAAATTGTATCTTGCATGTCTAAAGCAATGGGGGCTTCACCATTTCTGTCACAATAGATATTCTCACAAAGAAAGATGTGATTAGAAAAAAGAGTTAAATAAAAATAACTGCAATACCCTCCTATTCCTTGCCTCCTCAGATCACTCACCTTGGACAACTCTTTTTAGGGTCAAAGACCACTTGCTAGAGTCCATGTGTAGGATTAAGTTTGCAAATTTATAAAGGTCTATGATCTTTCCTATGGTACTCAATTAAAAAAAAAATGTTTTTTCCTTCTTTCCAACCATCAGAAAATGTTATGGAAAGTAATGGGGAATCCACACTGCAGCATGCAGTTCTTCTCCAGCCAATATCAGGATTAACTGGGAGCATGTTCCATACCCCCCGAAAACCACGATAGTACCATAAAACATCTGAAAACACTTACATTTGCATTCACTGTAATAAAATAAAATTAAATAAAAAATCTCGGGAATTAACTGTAACTATAACAACACAGCTGTTTTGCTGCTTTGCAAAATTAACTTCACAGTCAAAGCCAGTAATCTTTAGGCCCAGTTCCATATTTAAATAGTTAAATTTCCCATGAAATCAAGCTACGTCTTTACCAACTTACTAAAGGATTCATGTGAGTGTCTGGGAATCTCTAAACTGGAAAAGTGGAGACTGCCATCCACAGCAGTCATTAAGGGTTGCATACTCATTAATTTAAAGAGTATATCGAAACTTTTCTCTCTTTTCCTCTTGTCATAGTCTCTAATAATCTTGATGGTTTTCATTGACAATAAAAAAGCCAGAGTTTATTTGCCAGTCTCTTTTTTATCCAAAATTAGCAACATTCAGCATATGAAAGTTGGCTACTCATCATTTCCATTTTTGAGTTCTGATATTTTAAATATTTCAATGCATAACACAAACAAGGCAGAAACTTACAACAAGTCCAGATTTCTTTTTGGCGCACAATATTCCACATATGCCACAAAGAAGAAACTGAAAAGGAAAAGAATAACAATTATTCCATATCCAAAGATAAGAGAACCCCTAGTTTTTAGTTTATGGTTCACTCATGACACTTGCTCTAGGAAAGCTTGAAAATTTTACATTCCCATCAAAATCTGAAAAGGAAAATACCTCATTCTAGAATACTAAGGGATAAAAATGCAAATGCTAATGAAAATTTATTTTTTGCAAGGTTGATATAGGTAAGTGTGGTATTTCAGCAAAACTTGAATCAGTTTTACCGCCAGAGAAAATAATGAAGTAAATGAATTTAGAGTTCTGTTCCTCCTATTTTCTTTCATTGTCTTCTTGTCCCTTTTTACTTTCTCAGGGAGAAAAGTGGTGTATACATTCATTCATCCTAAGCAATCATAAATCAGTGGGCTATTCTATGGGTAGGGAATCCAGCACAAAGGAAAAGATAAGGTGTCAGACAGGGAGATATTTTTCTATAGAGACAGTCTTTGTACCTCTGAAACTACATCAGGTAAAATGGCTACCTTCTCATTCTACCAGAAATATTGTCCTTGTGGTTATGACAGAAGAACATAAGGGGATGACCTTATTGATGGCATGTAATTTCTTGTAAATAAGCACATTGGTGACATAATTGCTTTACAAAAGTAATTGCATTGAATCATCTACCAATGACAGCCTATTAGACATTTTGGTTATCAAAACACAGTAAACTGTTAACTTGGATAGAACCATTTAGGACCATTTGAGTGCGCATTTGTAGATACTTCTGGCTGGAAGTAAACCACATAAATAAAATAATATATTCATTAATAAATAATAAGCCCATGAAGGGCTTTCAGATTAGCAAAGAAAACTTTGAATGTGGTTAAACTTATTTCTATTTCATTTCTCTTTTAAATTTTGCTATCTCAAGTCAGAACTAATAATATACATGGTTTTAACTGAGTATCTCACATATGGATTGATTTTTAAATATACACATCAAAATATTCTAAGAATTATCTGAAATAAGCAATATGCGTGTGAGAAGCACCAACAAAATTTGATAAAAATTAATGGGTAAGGGAGGTTTTCCTTTGCAGGAAATTTCTGTATAAGAGAACAAAATGATTATAAAGCAGGCAATGAGGGCAGAAGACAGATCAGCAAACACAACAATACATAAGAATTTGGTATAAAATGTAGATGGCCTTTCAAATTAATGGGGAAAAGATCCGAATCATTTATTCAATAAATGGAATTAGGACAATCTGTTAACCTTCTCCAATATCATATACCAGAGTGTCTATGAAACAGTTTGAATAGTTAAATGCATTAAAAAAATACAAATGTAGTAGGAGATAATAAAGTTAAATATTTATATAATTTTAGAGGAGTGGGAGGGATTTTCTAAACATAGCAGCAAAGCTATAGACCAAAATGGAAAATAGTTATAAATATTAATACACAAAATTGTAATTCCCATAGTCAAAAATATCATAACTATCAAAGGCAAAATATAAATTGGGATTATATTCAGAAAGCATATGACAGACATAGGGTTAACATACTATATAAATAGATCTAACAAAATAATTTTAATACCATAAAACCATGAGAAGATAGAAACTCAGAATTTTATAAAATTTGAATACTAGCATAATTTTTAGAAACCTTAAAAAGCTACTTCTGAGTGACCATTTCTCACCCTCTCTGTGGCCTAGGTCTAGATAATTTTTGTCCCCACATGGACTCTTTCTTATTGATCCCATCTCACATCTTTCAAGGCTGTGCACCAGCCATTCCAGTTTGAACCAGTTCTGTACCTCTCGCGCTTCCAAGCTTCAGTTGGAATCCTCAGCATGCCCTTCTCCTTGCTTCCCTCGCTAACCCATTGTCCACCCTGAAAGTCCACTCACCCGGAACTCATTCTTGACATAATTTGAAAGTATTGTAGTTTTGTGTTCCTTGGATCTCTTTTGAAACCTATAAACATTGCCACTATTTATTCACAACAAAGCCCCAGGGGACCTCAGGAGCATAAGCACAGTTCATCCCAGCTCCTCAGTGGGAACATCTAGGTGACAATAAAATTGCTTCTTTCTATTGTCCCAATAAGGAAAGGAAGTTGAGGCCTTGAGAGGGGGAAGGTAGAATAGGAGGGAAGTCAAACAATATTTTTCTACTCTCAGTCAGGCCTGCAGGGTAAATACTCCCCATAGTTACTTCTGTTAGGTTATCCAAAATCCACATTCCTTACAGGAAACCTGTAATCTGAGAAAAAACAAACCTGGGTAATGGGAAGTATATAAAATCATGGAATTTCTGAGGAGGCTCTATGGGATCTTGGCTGAAGTTTAGCCATGACAGTTTATAGAAAAGAGTAAAAGAAGCACAAAAAATCAGTTAAGTAATCTTTTATTTCACTGGCTATCTTTACCCCAAATCATAGCACTGCAAAGGATTTTAAAAGATGACTCAATTCAGCCCTCCCAGTTTGCACTTGGGGAACTGGAAGTCCAGACAGGTTTAGTGACTTGCTCAAGGTCACACATCAAGGTTACCAATCACACATATAATCTACCTATAATCTAAGGCTTTATTAAGTGTCTAAGTTAGTTAATTTATTTCTAACAATGTAATGGAAATGATTTTCAAGAGGATTTTTCAGGGCTAGTACAGTGTGCATTATACTTGCAAATCCAACTAGAAGTGTTCAATGAACACCTGATCATCTATAATTGCCATTGTTAACTTTTGCTGTAATAAAAATAATCATAAGATTAGTTAATGGTACTATACTCTAAAATTAAGTGTACCTTATTATATAGGGAATTTGTTATAATATTTTAAGATATGTTTTTGTTCCCCATAACTTTATTCAGGATGCAAAGCAGTTATCCACATTATAGAAATTATGAAACAAGTGGAAAACAAATTAGTTAAAAAAAAGTAAGATGGATGGCTACATATGTGTATGTGTGTGTGTGTGTGTACTGAATTAGATATAAAACTTTACATGAGAAAATATAATTTTACTTCTGAGAAAATGTGCTGTCCAGGGAGTTATTTGTTTTGCTCTCAATATGAAGTTATATAAATGGAGCAATCTAACGCTCGAGCATCAAGGGTAATTATGTAATAAAACTAGGTAGTCCTCCAAGCAGAATTTATTTGATTCCAATTTAGATTAAATTTATTAGATAACTAAGGTTGTGACTCATTGTAGGATGAAATGGAGCTATTATTAAAATAGCATTCTATATTTTGAGTGGATTTTCTTAATGAAAGGTCCACAGAGCCTCCTTCTTTTGCTTAGGATATCGAAAGACCACCTTAACAATATGAAAAAACAGATAAACTACAAACTGATAACTTTTCTAGAGCCCATCAGAGAGCTTAGGTTCCAAGGCAGTGGAATAACTGCAATTCAAAGAGGGACAAACCCCTCCAGGGATAGTCTGGATACACAAGCTATGTCACCTGCTGCAGAGATGGGAGGAGGAGGTGCTGGTTGTCATACAAGTGTGGGAGGAAGAGTGGAAAGCTCTGCTCCTCCCTTAGGCTTTCTCTCTTAGGAATCAAATATTTTAAGCCCTTAGCAGAAGGGTAGCAAAGCCTATTATTTCCAGGGTATATGCAAATATGGATTGCGACTGTAACTGGAGGAAAAGTAGGCGAAAAAAATTCTTTGTACAGGAGGAGAAGCAAAAATTCATCTTGGGACTAACATCCTATGCCTATACTAAAGGGGAGTCATCATCCACTGGGGTAGAGGCAGGACCTCCTACTCAAGACTAACCATCAACACGAGGCCAAGTCTGGCTTTTGAGGAGGATACAGAATACTGAGAAAGTCCTGCCCACAAGGCCAGATGCACAGGGCCATCCCAAGCTGAGACTGGCTTAGAAGAAGAAAGAAGCTTCTCCTCGACCCCCACCTGCCCTACACCATGAGTCTAACAGGTGGGAGTAACACGCAACAGCAGTCTACAGTGAGGGAGAGGCAAGAGCATGGAAGGAGATCCCCTCTTTGATGGAGGTGAGCAGGGACAAGCTGACAGTGAGCTACTGACACAGAAAAAAGTTACGGCAACCACAGGCCACTATTAACGGAATTTGAAGACTACAGCGCACCACAGATAATCATTGAAATCGTGAAGTCAATTCCTCAATAGAATGACTCCACCTTTCACACTAACAGCCTAAAAGAAGGTATTAAGATAAAATAGTCACATGTTTCTGAAAACCAGTCTTTTAATCTTTGAGCTGTATATCCAGCCAAACTCTCATTCACTCAAGAGATTACAGGAAAGACAGGCTCATTTGGGCAAAAACAGCATGGTAGACTGAATTATGGCTCTCTAAAGATATATGTTTCTTAACCCCCAGAATCCATGAACGTTACCCTATAGGGCGAAAAAGCCTTTGCTGATGTGATTAAATTAAGAATCTCGAGATATGGAGATTATTGTGGATTAACCAGGTAGGGCCTAAACGTAATCACAGGGATCCTTTAAGAGAAAGACATGAAGGTCAAAAGAGACAGAAGGCTATATGAAGACACAAAGAGACAGAGGGAAGGAGATTTGAAGAGGCTACAGTGATGGCTTCGAAGGTGAGGAAAGAGAGCGGTGAGGCAAAGCATGTAGGAAGCCTCTGGAAATGGGAAAGGACAAAAAAATGGGACTCTCTCCTGGAGCCTCCAGAAGGAATGCAGCCCTGCAGGCTGATTTTAGACTTCTGGCCTCCAGAACTGTGAGAGAAGACATTTCTGTTTTATCCACTAAGTTTGTGGTCACTTGTTCCAGCAGCAATAGGAAACTAACAGTCTCTAAAATGTTATTTCATGTGAGACTCTCTAAAGGGGCTACTAAAAGCTGCTCTTCATGAAAACAAATAGGGAAAGACATGAGATAAGCAAGGGATAAAGTAGCAAAAGTACAAAGTAAAACAAAACAGTAAATCTTTTTAATTGAAAAGTATTGATCAGAAAAATTAACATCTGCTTAGAAAGAACATGCCAAGGGATTT